GATAGAGTTTAAAATCCCTTCAAAGCCTGAAAGGTTGGCAGTAATGCTGATTTCTCATCAACAAGTAAGAAGAGGCAAATGGTACTAAATGTTTGAATTTTCTTGCTCCAAATTTCAGACAATGAGAATACAATTTCACCCAAAGACTCTTAAGCTCATCTTGGAAGAAAGAACCTCTAGACAATCTAAATATGAACTTTTCTATTTAAAGGTTACTGTTAATGTTTTGTAGACCCTTAATTACAACAACAAAAATGAATTGCCTTTTTGTTTTAAATATAAGGAATTAACATAAGCTTTATAACATGTGTTGCTGCAATCACTCCTCACTACAGTTCATCATATTTTTTTTTTTTTTTGAGACAGAATCTTGCTCTGTCGCCCAGGCTGGAGTGGAATGGCACGATCTTGGCTCACTGCAACCTCCACCTCCTGGGTTCAAGTGATTCTCCTGCCTCAGCCTCCCGAGGAGCTGGGATTACAGGTGTGTGCCACCACGTCTGGTTATTTTTTTGTATTTTTAGTAGAGATGTGGTTTCATCATGTTGGTCAGGCTGGTCTCAAACTCCCAACCTCAGGTGATCTGCCCTCCTTGGCTTCACAGAGTGCTGGAATTCAGGTGTGAGCCACCAAACCCAGCCCAACCCACCATTTTATTGATGAAAAAATGGGTTGGGCACAAAAATACAAAAATTAGCTGGGCGTTGTGGTGGGAACCAGTAAACCCAGCCACTTGGGAGTCTGAGGCAGAAGAATCACTTCAACTCAGGAGGCAGAAGTTGCAGTGAGCTGAGATTGTGCCACTGCATTCCAGCCTGGGTGACACAGTGAAACTCCATCTCAAAAAGAAATAAAAAAAAGGACCAAGACATCAGGCACCTCACAGGAGGTCTTAGAAGAGGTCACCAAGAAGACTGGTGTGGCTCAAGTCTCCTGACTTCAGGGTTACTATTCCCTGCAGTAATGTTAGACAACCACATTGGAAAGAAAAGCCGTGTTCTTAGTACTGATGTAACAGCACCAAGTTTCAAAGTTGGACAAATATATTTTACTGTATTGTAAAATGTGCCACATTTACTTAGCATGTACACTCATGCACTGCATAACAACGTTCTGGGCAATAACAGACCATATATACATTGGTGGTCTCGTGAGGTTATAATGGAAATGAAAAATTCCTATCACCTACGAATGTCACAGCTCCTGTAACATCATCCTAGCACAACTCATTACTCATGATGCTGGTATAAACAAACCTACTGTGCTGCCAGTGGTATAAAAGTCTAGCACATACAATTATGTATAGTCTGTAATACTTGCTAAGAATAATAAATGACTGGGTTACTGGCTAATGTATTCACTATACTTTTCATGTTATTTTTAAACTGTACTTTTCTACTTATTAACAAAAAGTTGCCAGTAATGCAGTTTCAAAAAAGAAAAGAAAAGAAAAGAAAGCTAACTGTAAAACAGCCTCAGACAGATCCTTCAGGAGGTGCCCAGAAGACTTCGTTATCACAGGAGACGACAGCTTCATGTGTGTCATTCCCCCTGAGGACCTTCCAGTGGGGTAAGATGTGGAGGTGAAAGACAGTGATATTGATGATCCTGACCCTGTGTAGGCCTAGGTTAAGTGTGAGTTTGTCTTCATTTTTAAGAAAAAACTTCAAAAAGTTAAAAAGATTAAATGTTTTTAAATAGAATAAGAACATAAAGAAAGAAAACACTTTTTGTCTAGCTGTATGATGTGTTTGTTTTAAGCTAAGTGTTATTGCAAGAGTCAAGAAGACTTACAAATTTAAAAGTTCATAAAGTTAAAAAAGTTATAGTAAGCTAAGGTTTATGATTGAAGAAAAAAATATTTTAATAAGTTTACTGTTGCCTAAGTGTACAGTGTTAAGGAGTCTTGTAAGGCTGAGGAGGGCAGAACATCTGAGGTCGTGAGTTCGAGACCAACCTGACCAACATGGAGAAACCCCATCTCTACGAACAAAATTACAAAAAATTAGCCAGGCATGATGGCACATGCCTGTAATTCCAGCTACTCGGGAGCCTGAGGTAGGAGAAGCGCTTGAACCTGGGAGGCAGAGGTTGCAGTGAGCTGAGATCGCATCATTGCACTCTAGCATGGGCAAGAATAGAGAAACTCTATCTCAAAAAAAAGAAAAAACTGACAAGAAGTCTATAGTAGTGTACACGAGTGAATATTCTAGGCCCTCACCTTCCCTCACCATTCACCCACTACTCACCCAAAGCCACTTCCAGCCCTATAAGCTCCATTTACGGTAAGTACCCTATACAAGTGTATCATTTACTATTTTTCATACTATATTTTTGATGCACCTTTTTAATGTTTGGATACATTTAGATACACAAATAATTACCATTGTGTTAATTTGCCTACAGTATTCAGTGCAGAAATGTGCTGTACAGATTTGTAGCTTAGGAGAAATAGACTGTCCCATATAGCTTATGTGTGTAGTATGCTCTACCCCTAGGTTTGGGCAAATATACTCTATGATGTTTGCACAATAACGAAACTGCTTAAGGATGCATTTCTTAGAACATACCCCTGTCATTAAGCAACATGTGACAGTACTATGTCCCAGGTCCTGTGGTTGGCCCTGGGAGGATACAGAGAAAAGAAAACACCAGTTAGATTTCCTTGGCTCTTACAACCTGGCTGGGATAGGAAATGCATACTTTCAAGCATTGGTGTAATACAAGGTAGGCCTGGCATGCATTAAAAGAGAGAGATACAAAGCACTATCATGGGAGGGAAGACAGCAGTATCTGAAAATGCTCCCTGACAAGGATGAACTTGGCACAAGTTCAAGATTTAACTAAAGATAAATAGTCAAGAGGAATAGTCAAGAGAAGAAATGAGGTGTCTACCAAATATTATCAACCCAAAATTTTGTTTATTCAAATTGTATAGAGTTCTGTCCCTTTAGAGAACTGTAACTAATACACTGCCATAGCAAAAATTAGTAGATAAGCATAAAAGTAGTAGATAAAATGTTTAACTATTTTTAATTAGAGGTGTTTACAGATTAAAGGTCATTGTAAGAAAAACTAAAAATAGAAAAGATTAAAGTTATTTTCCCTGGGGAATAGAAAAGAGTGGTTGAGAGGTTGGGCAGGGCCTATTGTGTTTCTTCATAGACCCTTCAATACCAGTTGATTTTAAATCCACATGTCTGAATTACTTAGATAAATGTTAAGTTTTCAAAGAGCTCTATAAGAATGAGTGTGGTTTCTACAAGAAGAAAGAAGAGAGGGAAAAACAAGCACTCTACTTGAATTGTGCAGTGTGGGATACACTGACATGTTTAGGGAAACATCAACTCGTGTTCTATAGTAGAAAGCACTGAATAGATGGATATAAAAACAGACGCATAAATGAGTTTTGGCAAAAAAAAGGGGGGCAATAGAAGGTATTGAATGAAGAGGTGGTATACTTAGAATGAGATTTATATATGCCAGTAGTTCTCACATTTGAAAGTGCATCAAAATCACTTACTTATTAAAACAAAACTGCTGAGGCCTCCAGTGTCTTCTTTAGGAGGTCCAGGGTAGGGCTCAGGAATTTGCTTTCCTGCCTTCCTTCCGTCCTTCCTTCCTTCCTTTTTTGAGAGGGAGTCTCACTCTGTCACCCAAGCTAGAGAGTGCAGTAGCACAATCTTGGCTCACTGCAACCTCTGCTTCCCAGGTTCAAGAGACTCTCCTGTCTCAGCCTCCCATGTAGCTGGGATTATAAGCACCCACCACCACACCAAGCTAATTTTTTTTGTATTTTTAGTAGAGACAGGATTTCACCGTGTTGGCCAGGCTAGTCTCAAACTCCCAAACTCCTGACCTCAGGTGATCCACCCACCTTGGCCTCCCAAAATGCTAGGATTACAGGTGTGAGCCACCATGCCCAGCCAGGAATTTGCATTTCTAATATGTTTCCAGATGATGCTAATATGCTGGTCTGGGGACCACAATTTGAGAATCACTAACATAGTAATCCAGCAACAAGGAGAAATTAAGAATATAGTGTAAAGAGACTGTTCCAACAGGACAGATCAGCAGGAATGGGGCCCTGACTTGAGAGCCAAGAGTGGGAAAGTACAGGGCAGCAATCAAGAGAATGGGCTAATCGCTTCAAAGGACAAGGGACCATTGGATCATATTCCGGGTAATTACAAACCATGAATCACCAGTAAATCCCCCAGTGCCTATGCTCGGTATGCAAGAAGCACTTAAAATTTATTTTTTAAAGAGCAAGCCTGCTTAGAAATTAAGTTGTGAGTTTTGTCTTACTTTCCCTTCCTCCCACATCAATAATCTCATTTCAGTGCAATTAAGTTGCAAAAGCATCTTCCAGGCAGAGCATCTCTATTTGCACCTGGTCAGCAAGTGTATGTATCTGTACATGCAAAATGGTACTCAAAATGATTTCTTTATTTATTTCATTTTAGAATCCATTGTAGCTAAATAATGGTCAAAACAAATAAGGAGCACAGGAAGATTGTCTCTACCAAGTAGAACAAAAAATGCTCAACTCTGGCCAGGTGCAGTGGCTCACACCTGTAATCCCAGCACTTTGGGAGGCTGAGGTAGGGGGATCACCTGAGGTCAAGAGTTCGAGACCAGCCTGGCCAACATGGTGAAACACCATATCTACTAAAAATACAAAAAAAGTAGCTGAGTGTGGTCGTGGGTGCCTGTAGTCCCAGCTACTCGGGAGGCCGAGGAAGCAGAATCCAGGAGATTCTGAATCCAGGAGATGGAGGTTGCAGTGAGCCAGGATCATGCCATTACACTCCAGCCTAGGCAACAAGAGCAAACTCTATCTTAAAAAAAAAAAAAAAAAAAAAAAAGCTCAATTTACCACACCATAGAAATAATACTCTGTGAAAACATCAACCCTCTGCCAACGCCGCCACGTCAGCCCGGCAAATGAACTCCCTCTGAGCCGCCAGCCGGAGACCCAGGCGAGTGCTGTGGCCGCCCGGGTGCAGTAACAGCAGCAGCAGCCTCCTCCGCCGCCACCACCGCCGCCACCACCGCCGCCCCCGCCCGCTACCTCAGCAGCGGAACAACGTCGGCGAGCGGGATGATGATGTGCCTGCAGATATGGTTGCAGAAGAATCAGGTCCTGGTGCACAAAATAGTCCATACCAACTTCGTAGAAAAACTCTTTTGCCAAAAAGAACAGCATGTGCCACAAAGAACAGTATGGAGGGTGCCTCAACTTCAACTACAGAAAACTGGTCATCGTGCAAAACGTGCAAGAGTGTCTGGAAAATCACAAGATCTATCAGCAGCACCTGCTGAACAGTATCTTCAGGAAAAACTGCCAGATGAAGTGGTTCTAAAAATCTTCTCTTACTTGCTGGAACAGGATCTTTGTAGAGCAGCTTGTGTATGTAAACGCTTCAGTGAACTTGCCAACGATCCAATTTTGTGGAAACGATTATACATGGAAGCATTTGAATATACTCGCCCTATGATGCATCCTGAACCTGGTAAATTCTACCAGATTAATCCAGAAGAGTATGAACACCCAAATCCCTGGAAAGAGAGTTTCCAGCAGTTGTATAAAGGTGCACATGTAAAGCCAGGATTTGCTGAACATTTCTACAGTAACCCTGCAAGATACAAAGGAAGAGAAAATATGTTGTATTATGATACCATTGAAGATGCCCTGTGGGATACAAGAGGCTCATTTTGATGGACTCATCCTTGTTCATTCTGGAATATATACCGTTGAATGGATATATATTGAATCTCCAATCACCATGATTGGTGCAGCACCTGGGAAAGTGGCAGACAAAGTTATAATTGAAAACACTAGAGATTCAACCTTCGTTTTTATGGAAGGCTCCGAAGATGCTTATGTTGGATATATGACAATAAGGTTTAACCCTGATGACAAATCTGCACACCACCACAATGCACACCACTGGTTAGAGAGTATAGTAAATTGTAGCCCTATTACTGATCACTGTATCATTCGAAGTACATGTACAGTTAGTTCTGCAGTATGTGTTAGTGGTCAAGGAGCATGTCCCACTATCAAGCACTGTAACATCAGCGACTGTGAAAATGTTGAACTGTATATAACAGATCATGCACAGGGAATATATGAGGATAATGAAATTTCCAATAATGCGTTAGCTGGGATTTGGGTTAAAAATCATGGAAACCCAATTATTAGACAGAATCATATTCACCATGGACGCGATGTTGGTGTGTTCACGTTTGATCATGCATGAAAGTTGCAATATACACAGAAATAGGATAGCAGGCTTTGAAGTAAAAGCCTATGCTAATCCCACAGTGGTTTGATGTGAAATTCACCATGGGCAGACTGGAGGAATATATGTCCATGAAAAAGGAAGAGGACAATTCATAGAGAATAAAATCTATGCAAACAACTTTGCAGGTGTATGGATTACCTCAAATAGTGACCCAACAATAAGGGGAAATTCTATATTGAATGGAAATCAAGGAGGAGTTTACATCTTTGGTGATGGGCGAGGCCTTATTGAAGGAAATGACATTTATGGCAATGCATTAGCAGGAATTCAAATTAAGACAAACAGTTGTCCAATTGTTCGGCATAACAAAATTCATGATGGCCAGCATGGTGGGATTTATGTGCATGAAAAGGGACAAGGAGTAATAAAAGAGAATGAAGTTTATCGTAATACTCTGGCTGGAGTCTGGGTGACAACTGGCAGCACTCCAGTACTGAGAAGAAACTGGATACACAGTAGCAAGCAGGTTGGTGTTTATTTCCATGACAATGGACATGCAGTGCTAGAAGACAATGATATCTGTAATCATATGTATTCAGGGGTTCAGATAAAGACTGGAAGCAACCCCAAAATTAGACGCAGCAAAATATGGGGAGGACAGAATGGTGGAATTCTAGTTTATAATTCTGGTCTAGGCTGTATAGAAGACAATGAAATATTTGACAATGCAATGGCTGGAGTCTGGATTAAGACAGACAGTAATCCCACACTAAAAAGAAATAAAATCCATGATGGAAGAGATGGTGGCATCTGTATATTTAATGGGGGTCGAGGTATTGTTAATTTTGCATTAGTGAAAACCCCAGTTTTCCATTATTCTTCCATATCTTTAATGATCAATGACATTGCTAACTAAGTTGTGAGTGAAGCTCCAGTCTTTTTCATTACCAAGTTGAGCTGGTTTAGGAGACTAGAGCCTATAGTTAAGAGACAAATGTTTACAATAGTTTTCCTTTTGTAGCCACTTTGAGTCTGCAGTTGTCAGTAAGCCTTTTTAAAGATAGAATTTGTTTACATTTTCTGGACCTTTTATTATTCAGAATAGTGATATGATTATAATAAACTTTAAAGTCAAGTTATATATAAAAAAAAAATCAATGAACCTTTTATCCAACCAGTATTTTTGGGGCACCTACTAAATGAGAAGCACCGTGGGTATGTTTGAAATACAAAGAATAATAAAACATAGGTTCTGTGCTCACAGTCAAAATCTAGCAGTCTTTTTCCTATGCTCTTAAACCTGCCCAAGGATTGTGTTTTGTTTGTAATAAAAATTCTAAAACACATACAGAAGAAGAGAGTTAGCTTTTCTAAACTGACCACTTCTGTTATCTAATTATTCAACAGAAGAGAACGCTTTGGTCCTGGGTTATTTTGGTGAGCTCAGCGGTATTTTGCAGCCACAAATAGAGACACTAGAGAGCCTCCAGCACCTGTGTGCTCCCCTGCTCCTTCAGCATAGTGAGTGTTTTATCACTTACACACCTTTCAGTGTCCAAAGAGAGTGCCACTTGGGGTTTTAAAAATATCATTTCCTTTACTACCTACCAAAATAACAGGGTCACTTCAGGACCAGCAAGTGGTTGGCACTGTGACAGGATTCCCAGGAGAACTAATAGTTCTGAAGAGGAGCAAGTATTTTCACAGCTGCAGGTCTTGGTGCTGAACTTTCTACTGTCAGTGAGAATCATGTCCAAGTGAAAATATAGAAGGGGAACCAGCCATCAAAGGGAAGGCGGCAGGGATTGTTGTTTACTGGAGTCAGAGAACAACTGAAAATGACTTCTGCAGCTGGAAAGAGAAACAAAGACAAGGGTTGAGGGTCAACTTCCTTCTTTTATTTTAGCTAATTAGCATGCCCAAGCAGTGTTGCTCAAATGTTCTTGATTATTTCAACTCTGTGAAAGATTCCACACGTCAGCTGTGGACCTAGGAGGTACAGGCACTCGAGGGGGCAAAAGGAAAAATGGTCAATCTCATCAAAATTAATGAAGTCCCCCATAGAGGTTACTCAAAATTATACAGCTAGCAAATGCAATATATTATACTTGATAATGCTTCATAGGGCATTTACATGATCTCACATGATCACTGGACTTCTGCCTGGTCTCCCCACTAGACTATGAGCTCCATGAAGGCAAGAATTCTATTTTTGCTTACCACTGCATCCCAGAGCCCGTCACAGTGCCTGTCACACATTAGGTACTAAATAAATACATTTGGAAGGAAGGACAGATGAAAGGAATGATGAATGAATAAATAAGAGTGGCAAACTGACACTGTTAAAATAAGAATGAGGTCTAGAATTTTAAGTGATTAATAATAGGACACACACACACACACACACACACACACATATATATATATACTTTTTTCTTTTTTTGGAGACAGAGGCTCACTCTGTCACCCAGGCTGGAGTGCAATGGCACCACATCAGCTCACTGCAACATCCACCTCCCAGGTTCAAGTGATTCTCCTGCCTCAGCCTTCTGAGTAGCTGGGATTATAGGCATGTACCACCATGCCCAGCTAATTTTTGTACTTTTAGTAGAGACGGGGTTTCACCATGTTGGTCAGTCTCAAACTCCTGACCTCAAGTGATCCAGCACACCCAGCCCTGTAACACATTTTTAACTTCCAGTGTTAGGTACTGTTCTAATATATATATATATATTACTTCCAGTGTTAGGTACTGTTCTAATATATGATATATATATATATCATACATACATATACTAATTTATTTCTTATGACAACCCTATAAGGTATTTAGTTATTTTTATTCTCCCCACTTCATAGATGAGGAAACTGAGCCCCATAGAGGTTACTCAAAATTATACAGCTAGGAAATGCAATATATTATACTTTATAATGAAGAGATATTATGACCATACATACCACAAGAATACAATCTGCTCTCGGACCCTTCTTGCCTAACCACTTTAAACGGTTTCAACAACCTGCATTTAAGGGTCAAGGATTTGTCTTATTTGCAACTGGACTGTGAACATGAAACACTGTGTCAATCACCCCAACAGATGAAGATCAGAGAAACTCTTACCTGGATTTCAGTTGCCTCTGTGTTACATTTTTGGGTAAGATTTTTCCATATCAAGGTAAAAGTGGTCTGATTAAAACAAGCTCAACAAAAAGTAGTATCAGGGGATAGATATTAGAAGCTCAACAAAAGCTCAACAAAAGGTTGAGGAAAGATAGATAAACAAGCTCAACAAAAAGGATCCCCTGTTCTCACCTCAGTTTTGACTATATTGTTTCAAAGTCAGCAGGACAGAAATTGAAGCAGATAAATGGGTAAAACAAAGAGGGGAAAAAGAGCTTAGAGTATGGGGAAGAGAAAGGAAGGAGTATTTCCCTAGGAAAAAAGATTGAAATGGAGATATATTTGTTTAGAAAAGAGAAGATGAAAAGGAATGTGTGGCCCTCCGGATATCTACAGGAAACCACTCACTGAGCATGCCTCCTTAGATTGGTTTATTTTTGGCTCAACCTGGAATAGGAAGCCTAATGTTTAGACAAGGCAAAGTCATCTTGGGAAGGAAGAGAGGAAGAGCACTAAATGGAAACAACAAACAACTTATTTGCAAGATGAAACTCTAGATGGAGCAGTTCCCTCTATATGAATTTCCTGTGGTGACTGATACCGATTTCGCTGGATTAGCAACTATTGGGAAAACGACTGGTTGGAATACATTAGCTCTGTGATAGGAAATAAAATCGGATGATGCACCACTTAGAAAATAGAACCTAACTCTGGGCAGGATCCATGTAAAGAGAGGAAGGCAGCAGAGAAAAAGGAGGAGAATGACAGGAGGAAGAAGAGGAACGGGAGCAAGAGGAGATACAGTAAGAATTTTGAAAACGTATCCAAAAATTTGGAGTGCCCTGTGGAATATAATAAAGGGCACAAGTTCTGGAGTCCAACTGTGAGGGTTTGAATCCAGCCTCAGTCAACTACTAGTTGTAACCTCCCTAAACTCAGGTTTCCTGTCTTTAAAATTGGGATTATAATTGCACATAGCTCACAGGATTTCTTTAAGGAGTAGAGAAACTAATCCTTGTTAACTTCATAGCACATAGTAAATGCTCAACAAATATCTGAGGCTGTTGAAGATGATCTATCCCCTGATAACATAAATCTGAAATACCAACTGTGCTGAATAATGTTGGAACTGACCAGAAATGACCAGAGATAATGTTATATTAGACTCTCTTCTGGAGGGATTCATCACCTAACAATGAGCTTTACACTTAAATGCAGAAACCCAAGATAAGATACAGTCTTACAGAAATCGTCCATTCTAGGCTGGTTCTATGAAATGATTTTCTTCTCTCTTTTAGTTCTCAGTCACCCTCCTTTTTCCCTCTGCTTACTTTTCTACTTTTCACTCTGTTTTCCAGTCCTTTGAAATCTCTGCTCTTCTCCCCATGTGAGGATCCTGTCGAGACAGACTAACCAGACCTGTTTCCTCTATGCTTTAAACACTGGGGGCCAAAAGGGGAAAACATTTTCTTTGGGTGGGTGCCAAGTAATGTTGGGGAGTGGGAGAGAGTTTTTAATGACACAGTAAGAAAGAAAATATTTATGTTTCATTTTAATTGAACTTTTCAAGCTCACTATTTTTTAGTAGATGAAAAAGATCAACATATGAGAACACTGGAAATGAAAATACACATAGCTTTGGTTTCATGCACAGCAGTGGAAAAGCAAATGGGGCAAAGGGAAGTCTGTTGGAGGCATCTTATGGGAAGAGCTGCCCCAGCAAAAAAAAAAAATTGAGCTTAGTGGCACTGCCTTTATTATCGCATTCCTATGATTGGGGCAGATCCTGTTGGACTGGCCCATAAAATTGGCAAGATACTGAACAAGTTTATTACTTTAAATATCTTTCTATTTGTTGGGTCTACGGCAGTGCCTTGGGGAGCAAGTTTATAGAGTGTCACACCTGTTAAACCTGGCAAAGTGAGCACTGTGAAAGGACACGGTTTACCTTGTTGAGTGACTCTAGAAGTCGCTATTTTTGTTGCTGTTTATTAAGCATTTACCATGTGTTAGGTACTGTACTAACTGCTTTAGACATACGATCTCATTTAAATCTCCCAGCAGCTCTGTGAAGTGGATATCGTTAAAGTTACTAGGCAGTTTACTTGGGTCACACAGCTGATGAATACTGGAGCTGGGTCTTGACTTAGGTCAGTAAAACAGTAAACCCTGCATGTAAACTGCATTGTCAGGTGAAGCCCAATCAGACCAGTTTTCTGTATCTAACAATACTTGGAAAGACTTATATTATCTGAGATTTACAGAATAGATGAGCATGAATTACGTGTGTGTGTGTGTGTGTGTGTGCGCGCACGCGCGCACACACACATGGGCACCCCTGTGTATAATAATTAATTAAATAATATATAGTAGTGTTTTTCTATTAAATACATCATAGTAGGACTATGCACTATTTTCAATTAAAAGAATCCTCGTGGCTGGGTGTGGTGGCTCATGCCTGTAATTCCAGCACTTTGGGAGGTCAAGGCAGGCCAATCACTTGAGACCAGGAGTTCAAGACCAGCCTGGTCATGGTGGTGCACACCTGTAGTCTCAGCTACTCGGGAGGCTGAGGCAGGAGAATCGCTTGAACCCAATAGGCAGAGGTTGTAGCGTGATTGCACTACAGCCTGAGTGACAGAGTGAAATTATCTCAAAAACAAAAAATCCTTGTGTTCCTTGGTAGGTTTCCGTTCTCCCCCTGATACCCAGCTTTTCCTAATCCATTTCTGTATGGACCTACAACCTTTAAATCCCAGCTGTAACTCAGTTTTATCATCTGTTATAAGAGGTAC